TCAAGTCTCATTTTTATTGGCAGTGTCAGGAAAATACTGGCATGGTGACAACTCTACCTGCGGTAAATGTTGCAAACTCCTTCAAAAGTTTCACAACAAATGAGAGCAATTCCCTTTAATCACAAAAAAAATGACAAAGAATTTGATTCTGGCACAAAGTATAACAATGCTGCATGTGGTCCAAAATCCTTTTAAGCTGCATTCTGTCGGAAAGAGTGTACGTTCCTCGCTAGAGACCCAACATTTTGTAGTGCGTTGTTTTATTGCTGTTTACTTTTTTTCTTTCGTTCAAAAACACACAAATAGATTTTCATTTGACTAATATATAATTTATTTAGCATTTTCAAGCAGCAGTGATCTTATAAAAGTAAAGCGATAAAAAAGTGATGATACATTTTTGGAATGAGATTATTTTATCTTCTATTTTAAAGCAGATGTAAACACAAGACATTAAAATTCAGTAATATGAAAAAGTAGAGTAAGCAACTGCAGTGGTGACAAGCAACTTCAAAAAAAGATAAAGTGGTCTATTCATATTTTCACACAAGATTCACACAACTTTCATTCAGAATTCATACATTTTTCTCATTTCAATTAGAAAAAGCCGTGACTTTCGGGTGAAAGCTATCTGAATCTTGAATTAAAACATTATAAATAGACCCCCAAAGTAAAATATTGTATATTAATATTTTTTATATTATTTTATGTTTCAAGATTTATATAACGCCAACAGTTTCCATTACATATATACAAAATATTCAGACAACGTTCATTCATAATTCACACATTTTTCTAGTTTTAATTTAGAAAAAAGTGACTTCGGTGAAAGCTATGCAAATCTTGTATTAAAACATTTCTAAAGATATGAATACATGAATAGGTAGGCACTGCAATAATTATATGACAAAGATAAAAAATAGAGTGGACTATCAATAACATCAAACAAATGGTATTCCTGGATAAAATATGATGAATGGTGAACATATAATAGTGACAGTCCCATGAAGATGTAGTCCCGTAGAGACCAAAAATATGCTCTTTCATGATCACCAGCAACAGGCTCTCCTGGATCAGACCTCCCGATCAACTAATAAGAGATGTGGATCCAGGGGATCAAAGATGACTGCCCCCAGTTGGGTGATCACAAGACTCTAGCAGGCTGAGCGCTGAGATGGATGATCCCAGACAAGAAGAGATGAGGGTGGAGAGGAGTGCAGAGGGAGGGAGTGCTCAAGCAAGGGTGACAACAGTAATGCTGCATTTCAAACAGGGCAGAGAGTGTTGTCACTCTTCTAAAGGAAGTGCCACTGACACAATTAAAAGTGATTTTTTTTCCCTTAAAAAAAAGAACTAAAAGCATTTTGCTAACAGGAATTAAAGGCACAGGAGCAGCTATACATTGATGTTTTGGGGTTTTGGTTATACAAATATTTTAAAGTACTAAACTAAATTTCATATAGGGTGGATGGGCTTCCACCATAATCTGCAAGTATGCAGAGAATATTTGCACATTAAGTGCAAAATTATTTGTCAGGGTTTCACTCCTCCATTGGTGACAGGTCAGGGCTCTGAACTCCACTTCTTTCGGAACTTGTTGTGATTATATACTGTATATATGATCATGAACACAGAAAATGACAACAATGTTGAGCTTGAGAAGTGTCAAAATAGAAGTTGTAAATCATTTTTATTTTCCTAGGCTCTCTCATAAACAAGGAAGCAACCAGCAGTGATTAAATATTTCGCAGAATTGCACTTGGTAGCTACACAATGAAGACTCAATGGTAGCTACACAATGAAGAAATTACACTGAAAACAAAGACCAGACTTGTCTACGCTCTCATTTTCTCAGTTGTCAGTTACGGTTGTGAGAGCTGGAGGCTACAGAAACAGGACAGAAATAAGTTCAACTCATCTGAGCTTTGATACTGGAGAAGGATTTTATGTGTGCCGTGGACAACCCATAGAACTAATACATTGATTTTGGAAGTGATCAAACCAGCTATGTCACTAGAAAGCCAAATTATGAAGTTGTGATTGTCCTATTTAGGTCACACTATCAGAAGGGAGAGATCACTGGAGAAGGAAATAATATTTGGGAAGATCGAAGGAACCAGGTGAAGAGGGAGATTAACTACTAGGTGGTTGGACAAATTGACTACAGCTGTGGGGATGACACTGGACTAGCACAAAGCAGACTTCTCTTTAGAGCTTTTATTCTTCACGTCACTAGGACTCGGACTTGAGTTGATGGCACTTAATCATAAATATATATATATATATATATATATATATATAAATAATGAATAATAATAATAATAATAATAAAAAAATATATAGTATATATAAATTTGTATATACAGAATTTCTTTTAAAATTTCATTTAAATGCAAATGCAAAACCTTAAAAAAAATAAAACAAATAAAAGAGCAAGAAAAAGCTAATTCAAAAATCCAAAAGCAGTTCAAAACAAGAAACATATTAAGAGGAGGCAAACAGCATCAAAGAAAATTTCCCTTTTAGCTTAACAATAAGCGTTAAGACTTCCTAATACTAAAGTAAAAGCGCACTTCAGATTTTCCATTGCTTAAGGAGGGTGTGTGAGCATATGATTCCCGTAATCCATGTTTTCTTCTCTTTTTTTTTCTCTTCATCTCATTTATGAAATTGCATTCATGCAGATTTTTTGACTCAAAGTCAAGTTTCCTTTACTTGCATAAAATAATATCAGTCCATGTTTAAAAATAGAAAAGTGAAATGATTTAAATGCACTAAAAACACTGCAATCAACTGTGTTTTTTTTGTAGGAAACTTACACAGTGAAACTTCAATAGAAACAAAAAGTTATTTTGTGAGCTTTTCCATTGCTACGACAACTTTTAAATATAACTTTTACTCCTAAGTACATAACACATTTAAATGCCACTAAAATTTGTAAGAAGCAGCAAAATCTTGTGGATTTACTTCTCACCTGGCGCTGCTTGTGTTACAAAACTTTCCAAGCGTTCCAGTAAGTCACAGTAAAGGAATGATGCTTTTTAAAGATCATGGGGATGGAACGACAGCAAAACATGAAAGTAAATTCCAGTAATTGAGTGTTTGTCCATTGTGCGGAGTCAGATTTGTACAGAGGTCAGGCTGAAGCGTGTTTCTACTGATGAATGGCCATTTTTGTCTTCAGTTCTGTAGTGAGTGATATACCTTTCCTAAAGTGCAGAAACTTATTTATCCAAACACACACTGCAATATTTTCTGCTCGCATTCTGATATATTTTTTTTCAGCTTGTTATAAATCTCTGTAAGAAAAAAAAAAAGACTTTAATTATAGCACCCAAGTAAGGTCCATTACACAACAAGACTTTTTATATGAAAATTAACATATTTTATTATGGCAGAATAATACAATTTAAGGTAACTATGAAAACATATAAATATATATTTTACAGTAAATTCTTGAGACCATTACAGACCATTTATTATTCCCTTAGATCTAGGGTGCTCAACCTGTGGCCCATGGGCAATATGTGGCCCTCAGAGCCCTCTGATGTGGTCCTCGACCTCAATCCAGGGAAGTGCATGCCTGGGGTCAACAACTCATTGATCGCGATCTGGGATTGCCATCTCGCCATCCCAGAGCATTAGTGTGCATCAAGCTGGAACCTGCAGCGGAGGAAGCAGGCGGCTGCGGAGAGAGCAGGAGCTGCATAAGCCAATGTTTCCTCTGTAGCCCCAGCCTCCTGTCCAAGGCGGAATGATACCAAGTGCACTTTGAACTGGGGACCTTTCTAGCAGCCTGGAGATGGAGAGTATTAAAACCCCTTCTTTGAGACATGTTTTTACCACACACCCCCAACCACTGGTGTAGCATCAGGGGTCACAATAATGATCTCACCCCACGCTCCAGTGGGCCCATGTGGCTATTATACTATTAAAAATAAAACATTCTGAAACATTTAATTTCATTGTGGCTCCTGACTGGTTACCAAATCACCTTAGTAGCCCCCGCTCTTCAAAAGGTTACATGCCCCTGCCTTAGAGTCTAGATTATTAGATTCCTAGTGACAGTGTGGTACCGGGTGCTGGAACATACTCTGTATGCCAGCACCTGGCACTGAAAGGAAGACTGTACTAGGGGCAGAGTTATCCCCAACCACAGTACAAGTAAAGAGAGCAGTGTGGGAGCCTGTAATCAGGTAAGTAATTGCCAGTGGTGTAGGGGAGGGGGCTGGGATTGGGGAAGGGTTAACTTTCATGGTTATGCAGTTTGGGGGGGCAGTTTTCACTCCCATGACCACCAATGCGGGGGGGGGGGGAATAGAGATGGGAGAGGTTGATTTTCACTGCCATGACCACTAAATGCAGAAGGGGGGGGGGGGGGGAAGTTAATTTTATTTGCTACTATCCCTGCATTGGTAGTCTGTGGAAGTGGACACTAACCCTCCACTCCCCGTGCCTTACATTGAAGGTCTATGGAAGTGAAAGCTAATCTTCCAATGTGTTTTGCATTGGGGTCAGTAGCAATGAAAATAATCCTCAAAAATACAACTTGCCTAACATTGTGCACACAGTACCAAATGTTTGCCATGTCACAACTGACATCATTATACAAATAAATTACCGTATTTTTCGCTCCATAAGACGCACTTTTTTCTCCCCAAAAAAGGGGGGGAAATGTCAGTGCGTCTTATGGAGCGAATGTAAAGCGGCCGGTCCGGTATTTCCGCCGCCACCATGTCAGAATACCGGGCCAGCCACTCAGCTGTTCTCTGCGGCAGGAACTCACCCGTTCCTCGGTCCAGCACTTCCCAGTCTTCCTGCGCCGGCTTCTTCCCGCCCTCTGTGACAGCCGGGTGCCCACTGCGCATGCGCGAGAAGCGCTGTGCTTTGTGAATGGTCCGGAGTCTTCTGGACACATGACAGGTCCCAAAAGACGCCGGGCCATTCACAAAGCGCAGCGCTTCTCGCGCATGCGCAGTGGGCACCCAGCTGTCAAAGTCGGATGCCCACAGTATAGGAAGGAGAACTCCGCGGAAGTGGTAGCGGGTACCTGTCAAATTCAAGTACCTGCTTCCCCTCCCTCCCTAAAGGTCCGCAGTGTCTGGTCATGCCCTGTACTGTCTGCAGTCTCTGTTCATCTTCTGTACTGTCCGCAGTCTCTGGTCATCCCCTGTACTGTCCACAGTCTCCGGTCATCTCCTGTACTATGTCCACAGTCTCTGGTCATCTCCTGTACTGTGTCCACAGTCTCTGGTCATCTCCTGTACTGTGTCCGCAGTCTCTGGTCATCTCCTGTACTGTGTCCGCAGTCTCTGGTCATCTCCTGTACTGTCCACAGTCTCTGGTCATCTCCTGTACTGTCCACAGTCTCTGGTCATCTCCTGTACTGTGTCCGCAGTCTCTGGTCATCTCCTGTACTATGTCCGCAGTCTCTGGTCATCCCTGTACTGTGTCCGCAGTCTCTGGTCATCTCCTGTACTGTGTCCGCAGTCTCTGGTCATCCCTGTACTGTGTCCGCAGTCTCTGGTCATCCCCTGTACTGTGTCCGCAGTCTCTGGTCATCTCCTGTACTGTGTCCGCAGTCTCTGGTCATCTCCTGTACTATGTCCGCAGTCTCTGGTCATCTCCTGTACTGTGTCCGAAGTCTCTGGTCATCCCCTGTACTATGCCTGCAGTCTCTGGTCATCTCCTGTACTTTGTCCGCAGTCTCTGGTCCTTCTCCTGTACTGTGTCTGCAGTCTCTGGTCATCTCCTGTAGTATGTCCGCAGTCTCTGGTTCATCTCCTGTACTGTGTCCGCAGTCTCTGGTCATCTCCTGTACTGTGTCCGCAGTCTCTGGTCATCCCCTGTACTATGTCCGCAATCTCTGGTCATCTCCTGTACTATTTCTGCAGTCTCCAGTCATTCCTGTACTATGTCTGCAGTCTTGGTCATCTCCTGTACTGTGTCCGCAGTCTTTGGTCATCCCCTGTACTATGTCCGCAGTCTCTGGTCATCTCCTGTACTATGTCTGCAGTCCATTGGTTCAGAATATTTTTTTTCTTGTTTTTCTCCTAAAAACCTAGGTGCGTCTTATGGAGCGAAAAATACGGTATACTTCATTATGCCTTTGAGGTACCTGCCTTTCCTATGCAAAAAGGGATCAACATACAGTAATGCAGTAATTCTAGTAATTCTAGCTCCATAACGCTAAACTGATGACCTAAATGGGCTTTTGAAACGTCGCCTATAGAAAATATGGGGTACTGAAGTTTGTTGCCATTTTATAGGTGCACACAAATTTAAGGATTGGCATGTTGGGTATCTATTTACTCAGCACAACCTCATCTTGTATAAAACTTTTGGTAATTTATTGCATTAGTTTGCACTAAAATTTACTTTAGTGTGATTTTTACTGAAATTTTGCATTTCCTAGACATTTGCAATAATATTGTATGACATAAAAAATTAGAACCACCACCATTTTAGACTCTGCTTTCAAAAAATAGATAATGTTTGGGGGTTTTGTATAATCTTCAGGCCTAAATTGATTTTTTTTAAAAAAGTTTGCAAAAAATGCAAAAATGGCTCTGACATCGAAAGGCCTAAATTCAATAATTAATTTCCCCTCACAGACAGCATAACCATTAATAGCTACCAAGCGGGAAATAATGTAATTCTCCTGCGGAAAGAATAAGCATCATACTATATGCCAATACAGCCAAATAAAAGAAAAATAATAACAAAATCAATTAAAATCAATTAAAAAACGATCTAACTCTAGAGATTATGCTATTGTGGGAGATATACTAAATTACATAGTGGATTATTACAATTGACCTTTACAAAAATCACAGAATAACACATTATACTTACTCTCAGAAGCAACAGAGTGGAACGCTATAAATGGATTGCCTTAAGATGGCTGTCAACCAGACCCTTCAAAATGGCAAGGGACCGATGGGTGAAGTTGTCTTCCAAAAATGGCAGTTAGCTATGTGTTCTTGCCTCAGTGAAGTGTGTCAGATGATCAGTCTCTTTCTTAATGATGAGGTATGTGCAGGTGCGCACTGACAACTCATGGGGCCCCCGGGCAATAGGGGATCATGGGTCTTTGCCCACACTCAAAGCACACCCAAAAAAGCCTATAAAAAGGTAACAGGGGCATTTCATGGGGTCTCCTACTGACCCCAGGCCCTTGGGCAGTGCCCGAGTGCTCGAATGGTCAGTCCGCCCCTGGGTATGTGTTGTCTATCTACTTGAAGACAAGGCAGTGTGATCAGATCCAGATGATGTATGTCTGATGTCTCCCAGACTTGCTATTATATTCAGTAAAAACAATACACATAATTTGCATACTTCAAACTACTCTTTGAGTATGGCTACATTATAACAAAGACATTCAAACACAAGCTGTTAATATCTTATATGTCTATGCACACTACTTTAGGCTAGTAGCTTTTTTTTAGAGCTTCAGCTTCTAGGAACAGAAAAAAAAAATTTTTTTTAGTTTTTTGCAGCATTTTTCCAGCAGAAAAAAATGTAAACACTTCTAAATGCCTATCTTTTTTTCTACATGTACTGTAAAAATGCTAATAAAATGCTAACGCTCCTAAATGCTACTAAAACGCTACTAAAAACTGCTATTACTATCAGTTTTTATCCAGCAATTTTTTCCAGCATTTTTTAGCTAAAAAAAATTGTAGTGCATGGAGCCTCACAGTTCTCTGTTAATAATAAAAACAAGTATCAAGTAATATCTTTATAAATAAAACAAAGTTTCATAAACAAACAAGAATATTGCTTTTTAGCCACTGCTAATTTTCACATAATCTTTTGACTAAAATAGCATTTTAGATTTAGTCGTATTTTAGTCATCTGAATTGAAATTGAATTTTATTTTCATTTTCCCTGTAAATATGCAGCTGACGAAAACTGTGCCGAAAATATTTATGACGACCAATTTAACACTGCTGGCCAGTGACTCTTCAGGGACTGGAACCTGTAGATAGGTTGCTTACTACATGAACCTTTTGTCGCTTGTACTATTACACAAGAAAGATTCAGCACCCATAGTGCCACATTTGCATGGATTTTGGTGAGTATTAGGGACATATGAATAAACGTTTATGTTAAACTAACCCAATGATTAGTTGGAAAGGGGGAAATAGAGTGCCCACAGATTTAAAGTGACGTCATTCCCATTCAGTTCGGTATTTAACAACTCAAACTGGAGCTGAAGGTTTCTTTAAAAGCTTGAGAAATCTGCCTGAAGATTGTTAAAAGCTTTGAAATGCTTTATAAAAGCTTTCTGTATACATTGCGCTTGTACAAGCTGAAGCCTATGTGAACAAGACCTAATTGCAACCTTGCACATCACTGCTAGCGAACAATATCTGTATCAATTCTATAAAATGTGTTCAAAATTGGACATTTACAGTCTTGAAGTATAAAACCCTGAGTTAAAATATAAAGGTGATATGATGGCGCTCTCTAAGAAGAAGATAAATGGGTAGTAACAAGCTGCTTGGCTAAAGGATTTCCTCAGCTTTGATAAAGTTAACAAAAAAAGCAGGACACAAAGGCAACGGCTTGGTGGTTTAATGACCCACATGCTGCTTCCAGAACAGATAAAATGCCATTTTTTTTTACCAATTCTGGTATGAGAAAACTTGGAAAAAAAGCACAGTTCCGAATGAACAGCCCAGGTGTCCGCTTTATTCCTGTCTTTCTGTCCTTCGTTGCTGGCAGGGAAATAAGCTGACGTCCCGGTGAGTCTCAACGTTGCACAATAGACACAAAAGGCAATTTTCTAAAGAGAGGCGAGTAATTCACACAATGCTGACTGTATACTATTATTTGATATGAAGCAGGCAGATATTACAAAGAAAAAGAGCCATTGCTTTCAGATAAACTATAACATCTGGTATCTTTAAACCACTTTCCTTATTGTTACTCTAAAATGAGTTGAATGGTGTAATTATTGATAATCACTACAGGTATTTTGTTAAATTGAGTGCACTTTCAAAACACCATAATTTCATTAATACTAGTATGTAAGTCAAGCAAGTTTGCCAGTAGAAACGTTTACTTTTTCCCTTGCTCTTGTTCTCCTTTGGAACAGGCACTGAGGCCACCAAGAGCCCCATCACTTGCTGTTTCCTTTTGTGTATTGCATTTAAAGGATAAGTTCACTTTTTTACAAAAAAAGTATAAATGCACTTTTTTGCAGGTAAAAAGAATGTGCATTTATTTATTTATTTATTTATTTTGTAGGAGCCTGGAAAGCATTGCACCTGTGACCATGAGATCACAGATGCCATGCAAGACTGCTACAGACCAGGGGCGGACTGACCATTTGGAAATTGGGGCACTGCCCGAGGGCCCGGGGTCAGTAGGGGGCCCCATGAGATGCCCCTGGTACCTTTTTCATAGGCTTTTTTGAGTTTGGGCAAGGACACAGGGGCCCCATGATCCCTTATTGCCCAGGGGCCACATGAGTTGTCAGTCCGCCCCTGCTACAGACTGTCAATGTAAGCCGTGAGCCTGTACATCGTATGAGTAGGCAGTTTTACATGGACAGGGAGAATCAATGAACTACCAGAGAGCTCAACAGCTCCATGGTAGTCCATTGAGATCTACAAGCTCACAGTCGCAAAGGCTGTTGATACTTGTATTGTACCCATTCACAGAACTCTGTAAATGAAAGACACGGCCGGGTGGGCGAAGACCCGAACAGTTTTTCAAATTGTAACAGTGAGCGGGGGGGAGCAGATCCCCTGCTTGCTGTCAGAATGGGGGATTGGGGGTTGTGGAGGCCAGTGCTACAGTAACATGAATATGGGTGTAACATGTAACATGTTATGAAAGGTGAACGTATCCTTTAAAGACATGCCCAGGATCCTTTATAGTTTACATTTGTGTGGCAGCAATTACCAAAAGAGCATAGTTAAAACCCAACCACAGCCAAAACTTTATTGTTTTCTATAGAGTGAGGAAGAGGTTGGTTATACACTGATCGAAATTTAACCAGTTCAGTAGGGACCGGCAGAATTTGGATCAGTTTTTGGCCATCCCAGCTAAACATAAGTCAATTGTTTGGATATGTTGGGGATAAATAGGGATATGCTGGAAAATTCTCCTTGATCAGAGGCTGCAGCCACTGACCATTGTATTCTGACAGTGGGAAACACTGTCAGAATACAATGTCCCTGTGGGGGTTTCCTCCATACGCATCATTCATGAGCAGGGCCGTAAATCATTTTTCTTTCTGAGGGGTTCAGCTCATGGCTGAGCTGAACCCCTCCCAACCACTCCCCCTTAGGCTGCCAAGGCAACAGATGGGGCACCCAGCTGTTGTACCCGACGGGCAATAGACCCCACCAAACATGACCCATTCCCCCTGCGTTTGCAGTGCAGCTGTGCAGATTTTAGGTGTTAGAACAGGCAGTGAGGAGGCAACATTATTGCCACCCCACCACTTGTCAAATGCCTTCTGGAGAGTGATCCATCACAGATCACTCTTCAGAAGGTGCTACAAGT